GGAGACTCGCCCTTCACGGAGGAGGCCTGGGCGCTGCTCATGGACGAGAGCCCGCAGAAGGCGGTGGAGGCCGACCCCAGCAGCCTCCGGCGGGCCTTCGACGACCACAGCGTGGTCCAGACGGTCCTGGACCTGGAGGAGGACTACCCCCTGATGGGCTCTTACAAATACCCCATGGAGTGAGGGGCGCCCGCCCGGCAATGCCCGCGCAGTCACGTTTCTCAGAGGGTTGGCCGAATCTGCCCCCCGCCTCCCGCCCCCTTAACTTCCAGTTCCCTTTCGGAGCTGGGAGCCCAGCTTTGTTTTCATTGCTTTGTTTTGTTTTCCTGTTGCTTTGAAATAGTTCTGACTGTTCCTTGTCTTCACTTGCACCTGTTTCTTTGGTTGATGGTCAATATACCTGGTGCTCAAGGCAGGTGTGGCCTGTGACCTCTGCTGTGTTTCTTGGTGTTCTTTCCCATGAGCCCCTGCGGCCACAGCCAGTGAGCTTGGTGGACCCTGGTGGAGGCCCTCCTCATCTCTAGACCAGCCTTCCCTCGATCCCCAGCCCTGCCCTCAAAGGGGCTGGGAGCGTCCCTGGTCCCCTCTTGACAGGGCATTCTCATGAGGCCTCCCCCCACCCCCACTTCAGACACCTGGGCCCTAGCTGGTGTGGGGGGAGGGAGAGGTGCTCACAGGTGCCTCCCATCCACCTTCATGCCTGGACCTCATCCATGCCCCTCAGGCCTGGGGACCCTGAGGCCACGGTGGGGCAATGGCCCTGTTTGGTCAAGGTGGGCAGCGGGGAGGGAGGCCAGGACACTGCCCCAGGTCAGCACAGCCCCAGAGCTTAGCAGGGCTGGCCCCACCCACCCTGGAAAGAAAAGGCCTCATCAGAAATTATTCAGGCAAATCTCAAAAGCATGGCGTTCCTTCAGGAACCTCATGACTGGGCAAGGCCTGAGCCTCGGAAACAGTGGCAGGTGAGTGCCTCCTGGGCTCAGGGGGAGTTGGGGAGGAGGCCGCCCAACAGACCAGAGAGCCAAGCAGGAGGCCCAGGGGACCACCCCCCAGGACATTTAGAGGCCACGGACCTCACCCCTGCGTTAGGTCTGGTGACTCCTCTGGGCTCAGGGATCGGAGGGGGAGACCAGGCACCTTCTCCTTAGCGGGTTGGCTTGATGGTGCGCCTGCCTGCATCCCGAGAGCCCTGGCCACCCTGGGGCACAGCCACCGCCGCCCACCCAGGCAGAGGGCAGGCCAAGGACCACCTGGCAGTGAGCTCCCAGCCTGTGGGGGTGGCCAGTTTCTTCTCCTGGCCTTGGCTGCCCGCTCACAGGAGGCGGCGGCTGCATGGAGAGGCCGGGCCCGGGGTAGTCAGCACCCCAGGTCACCACGGTGCACCCCGCTGCCCCCGCCCCGCCGGAGGGAGCTGGACGGAGGGCGAAGGAGGAAGGGTCTGTAGGCGAGCAGCCTGCGTCCTGCGGGGCCACCCACCCCGCAGTGTGACAAGGAGGCGCCCTGCCTTGGGCCCCCTGATCCAAAGCTCACCTCTGCGGGGGCCCCTGGCCGGGACTCACCGTCATGACGAACGGGCCAGCGGAGAGCGGCCAAGGAGAGGAGGCAGTGGCTGGGCCGGAGCAGGAGGGGAAACTGGTGCAACCCAGACGGGGCGGGTTGGTCCCGTTCATGCGTCTGTTAGGCTCTTAGTTTGACGAATCTGCCAGTGAGACGAGGTGTTCACATTGGGGGGCTGGGTGAGGGGCATGTATAGACTCACTGTGTTTACAACTTTCCTGCAAACCTTGTTGCTCTAAAATTTACAATGTGTTACTTTTTTAAATGCAGTTGATCCCATTTGTGAAAATGTATGAGCACATGTGCAGAGCATTGTCACGGAGGGGACACAGAGGGGTTCAGTTTCCCCTTTTCCTGTGTTTTATAACCTATTGCCATGGGCATGTGTCACTTCTGTAGAAAGAAGGAATTATAAAGTTTTTTAAAACCCTCATCGCTGCCAACCAGCCATGGACCCCCTCACCAGGCACCTGCCCGAAGTGCTGTTCGCCGCGCCCAGCGGTGGGCAGAGGCCAGGCCGGCAGCAGGCTCAGCGGGCCTCCTGGGGGTCCCTTCCCTGCAGGCGGGTCAGAGCTGCTTCTCAACTCAACTCCCGTCCGGGGGTGGCGGGGGCGGCTGCCGGGAATGGCAGGGCCCTCACCCTGGAAGACCAAAACGGGGGGCTTCCTGACTGGGTGGAGGCGGTTGCCGGGGGACAAGGGTAGAGCGTGGGGTGGGCAGAGGGGCTCCCTGGCGGCCCACAGATGGACCTCCGCGGAGAGCCGGCACGGCCATGGCATACTCAGCCCCAGGCGCCTTAGGTGCCATGCCAGCTCAGCCTGGTTCAGCGACCCTGAGTAGGGGGTGAAAGGCTCAGAACAGACAGACAAGAGAATGACAGCTGGGTCTCAGTGGGACGCTGCTCCCTGATGAGGAGACAGCGCCGGCGCCCAGAAGCCGTGTCTTTATTTTATAGCAGATGCCACGAGGCACAGTAGGGGCGTGATCAAGTTGTTTACAGCATTCTCATGGGTTTCAACCTCACTCAACTACATGCACCTGAACTCTATCACACAGGCACTCGAGGCCACGTGTTCAGACCACAGGTTCAAGCTTACAGCTAGAGCTGTTGGCTATAATTGTGCTGGGAAGGCTCTGCCCTCCAGCTGGGACTTGCACGTGGCCATGAGAGGACTGTGCCCTCTCATCAGTCCGAGGCTTGAACCTGTCCAAACACTAACCGCGCCCCATATACCTCTGTTTAGTTTTTGTTGTGTTTGTGTTTTGTGTGGGTTTTTTTTTAATATATTGATTTTTTACAGAGAGGAAGGGAGAGGGATAGAGTTAGAAACATCGATGAGAGAGAGGCATCGATCAGCTGCCTCCTGCACAGTCCCTACTGGGGATGTGCCCGCAACCCAGGTACATGCCCTTGACCGAAATCGAACCCGGGACCCTTCAGTCCACAGGCCGACGCTCTACCCACTGAGCCAAACCAGCCAGGGCTTGTGTTTTGTTTTGTTTAGAAAGCTGGCAATTTTCATGGCCCCGATGGAACGCCTTTCCTGGGAACTAAATTGTTCCTTCCCACCACCAGCCCTCCATCAACCTGACTGCAGCCAGGAGCACCCTGGCCTTGGTTATTGGGCCAGCGGGGCTTGTTTTCGTTTTAAAGGTATGTCTATTGAGTTCAGAGAGGAAGGGAGGGAGAGGGAGAGAGAGAGGAACATCAATGATGAGAGAGAAGCATTGACAGGCTGCCTCCTGCACGCCTCCCACTGGCGACGGAGCCGCCACCCGGGCCTGTGCCCTGCCCTGACCGGGCATTGAGCCCTGACCTCCTGGCTCTGGTTGACGCCGGGCTTTGCTCTGTTTGTGGAAATTCCCACTCACTGCAGGTTGCTTTCCGCCTGGACTATGTAGGAGAACACTCAGATCTTGGTTCCAGATAAATATTTACAGCGGGAACAGTGTTTTACGCGGGAAACCTACTTGTCAATAGGATCCCACCCCGGGGCGCTGTGGCAGCCAGCTGGGAAATGCCTGCTGGAGGAAGAGTTTTGGCCTGAGGTCCAGGGGTTCCCCCTAGGTGTGGACGGAGTCGGCGAAGAAGGAATGACATGGAGACAGCATTCAGATGATCATCATAGCGAGGTTCTCTAGCCAGGTTCTATGTCTAGGTTCTTCAGTCAGGTTCTGCAGGTTCTTCAGCCAAGTTCTGTAGCCAAATTCTGTCTCTAGGTTCTGTGTCTAGGTTCTGTGGCCAGTTTCTGTCCAGGATCTTTTGCCATGTTCTGTCTCTGGGTTCTGTCTCTGGGTTCTGTCTCTAGGTTCTATGTATAGATTCTTCATCTAAGTTCTGTGTCCTGTTGTCTTGTTACATCTGTATTTATACCAGTTGATTCCAATCCTATCAATCTCTATTCCAAAGGTTAGGGCATTTCTTATCTCCATTCCAGGGAGTAAAGATTATGTAGCTTAAGCATGATTGTTCGTAGTTAAAGTGATTAATTACCCGCCTGGCACTTACGTACCATTCTAAATAATTTCATCTAGAAACTTTCTGAGGAAATACTATTCTTAACCACAAAAATGGGAAGAAAAAATAATTACAAACTGTTTTCATAACCAGCATAAAAAATACTATATAGAACCAAAATAAAAAAATTAGTCTGAAAAAGAAACGTTTTTAACAAAAAAATTATTGGGGAAGGGGTTAAGAACAGTATGCCATATATGCCAGGTCCCTTGAAACAGCAAGGATGGACCGGCTCCCGGCATGGCATGAGGAATTTTTCACAACTGCTCAACCCTCCTAGGAAGCAACCATCTTTTTTGAGGGCAGAAAGGCTGTTGTGCCCTGGGCACTTTGGGAGAAGAGGGAGGGAGAGAGAGAAACATCAATGATGAGGGAGAATCGTGGCACGCCCCACACTGGGGATAGAGCCCACAACCCGGGCCTGTGCGCTGACCGGGAATTGAACCGTGACCTCCTGGTTCATAGGTCGATGCTCAACCCCTGAGCCCCGCCAGCCGGCTTTTCTGGAGCTCATATTCCACTCTCCTTTCTGATGGACTGAGTGAGGCCGTGAGCACAGGAAGGCAATGGGCGGTGAGCAGGGTGCGCTTTAGGGGTGACGTTGGATACTCGGATGTTAAGACAGTTGTGCTGTCATTGGCTTCAGTTTCCTCCTCAGACGGTCGCAGGAGTCACAGCAGAGGGAGGAGCCCCTAGTGGCTCTCGGGGCCCAGGCCACGGGCCTCCCCCCTGGGAAGGCAGAGGAGGCTGGTCCAGGGCAGAGCCAAATCTCTCCTGGCATCCGAAGAGCCACAGACGCTCTAGGCTCCTGGGACGTGTCTGGGCTGTGTCATACTCACCGAACCTGGCAGGCACAGTAGTTCAAACAAACAAGCCTTAGGAATAAAATCAACAGAATACCCTTTCCTGCTGGTTATTGGGCAGTGTGGTTTTAATTGGCCCGGACTTGTTAAGACATAAGTTCACTGGGCGTTCTACAGAGACACGCAGTGCCTGGGGCACTGAGTCACTCTGACCTTTGGCTGCTGGACACAGATGGAACAGGAGGAACAGATTTCGTAACTCGCAGTCACAGCGCAGCGGTCCTGCTTTGGCATTAAAAATTGAACAGACCCTTCGATGAGGCCACAGCTGTTAATGCCGAGGGCGCTCTCTCCACAGGCCTCGGCTTTGAATTTAAATGATTGAACTTTCGCCCTGGCCGGTGTTGCTCAGTGGATAGAGCGTCAGACTGCGGACTGCAAGGTCCTGGGTTTGATTCTGGTTAAGGGCACGTGCCCTGGTTGCGGGCTCAATCCCCAGTGGCGGGTGGGCAGGAGGCAGCCGATCCATGATTCTCTCTCATCGTTGATGCTTCTATCCTCTCTCCCTTTCCTTTCCTCTCTGAAATCAATGAAAATATATTTTTTTTAAAAAAAAAACACT